GTTGGTGAGTAGAGAAACTACACAGCAAAAGCTTCATCATCTGCAGCTGGAGTTTTGAATACTGAATTCATGTTGTAATGGGATCTGGCTTTTTGGGGTCTTAGGATGGTGTGGACGAATTCTGTATAAGGCAGGGATATGAAATAATGGGTGTAGGGGATGGAATGTGGCAGACAGAACTGTACTGGGCCCTCGTCAAGCACATCTCCTATAAGTCATACCTCTGTGGACGTCTGTGCTGAAGTGGGGCTAGGGCCTGGTGGCTTGTTTCTAATCAACAGACAATGTTGAGGCGATGGGTGTCCCTCCACTTACTACACTACAGTATATGCCAAAGGTATGACATCAGTTCTTTAATTAGAGACATTACATAAGATACTGTTCTGCTAGCAAATAAGTTCTTGCTTTCCCACCAGCCTTGAATAAGAATACTGCCAAGTTTTAAGCTACTTATGGACAGGATTATGTGGCATGGAGGTGGGGAGTTTGGGAACCAAGAACTGCAAAAACTCTTGGCATGAATGACTCTGCCTAAACCCCCGCACTAAAAAACTTGACTGAACTCAAGCAAGGCTTTTAACAGCCTAAGGCTACATCTTAGGACAACCCAGCTGTCCATGAGTTTCTATTTGGAAAATACCGAGTCTACAGAAAGAATTACCATTTGCTCCAGCCAACATCTGATGATAGCCCCCCCATCTTCCTTTAGAGAATCTATTTAAAAATCAACGCCACAGCAACAATAAAACCTTTTAATTATAAATCCATCCTTCGACCCTTTGAGGTGTTTATATATCTCAAACAACCCAGGAATGTCTTTTTCAAAGATCTGAAAGACTTCCCATTGAAATGTAGTCATCAGGAAAGATCAGGCCTGTCTCTCTGTCACTGTGGGAGGAAAAAAGCCACAAAACAAAAAGACCAATAACTCAACTTAAAAACAAAAACAAAACAAAACAAAAAAACCCACCATATTTCTCTAAAGAAAATCTACCAATGGCTAACATGAAAAGATGCTCAACATCATTAGTCATTAGGAAAATGTGAAACAAAGACACAATGGGATAGCATTTTACTATGGTGGGGAAAAAACATGGGGGGGGAAATGGGGAAAAAACAAACAAACAAAAAAACAAAAAAAACCCACCCAAACAAGTGCTCACAAGAATGTGGAGAAATTGGAACCCACATACAGTCCTGGTAGGAATATAAAATGGTTCAGGCTCTTTGCAAAACAGTTTGGCAGTCCCTCAAATTTAAACAAAGAATTACCATATGACTCAGCAGTTGTACTCCTAGGTATATAATCAACATTATTTTAAGAATAATCAAAGAAATATTGGTGTACAAATATTCATAGAAGCATTATTATTCATAAGGCCCCCAAATGCAGACAACCCAAAATTTCCATCAACAGATGAATAAACAAAACAGAGTATATCCTTGCAATGTAATATTATTTGGTGATAAAAAGGAATAACATACCAATACATGATAGACCATGGATGAACCTTGAAAACATTAGGATAGGTGAAAGAAACCAGACACAAAAGGTCACATATTGTATGACAACAAGTATAGGAATCATCCAGTCTAAGCAAATTCAGACACAGGGATAACAGAATGATAACTGCCAGAGGCTAGGGAGAGCAGTGAATGGGAAGTAACTTTTTGAAGGGTAGGAAGGTGTTTTTTGGAATGATGATTGTGTTTGGAATTAGAGGTGGCTGTACAATGTTATGAGTGTACTAATGCCACTGAATTGTTTACTTTAAATGTTATATATAAAAAAATACACACACACAAAATCAGTGGAATGATCGAGGATACCATTCTATAGCCCCTAATGGATTTACAGAAAGGGGTGAAGATCTCAATCAATACCACCACAAAGCAGAAACAGACATTAGGTATCTCTGAATGGTATCGCTTTGTCTCGGAAATGGACGTGTTAATAAACTGATAAATAAATCTGAATTTTAACAATATTTGTCCTGTGACATTGAGGATTATTGATGCTGAGTTTCAGGTACATTGGGTTCATTATTCTCTTCTCTGTAATGTGTGTATGATTGCTTTAAATAAGTATCATGCCTTTAAATTTGATAATCTACATAAAACAAACAAATTCTATAATACATAAACCACTGTACTGAAGATAGAGTCAAAACCTATAGCACCATCAGAATTTTCCAAGACAAGTCAGGTTTGGAAGCCTATTATACCAAATGGTTAGGGGAAAACTAACCACCATCTTATTTAAATTCTTCCAAATCATACAAAATGATGGGAAATGGATCAACCATTTTAACAGAGTAGCTCTCCTTGCTACAAATGCCAGGTAAGAATGCCCAATAAAAGAGTACTCAAGCAAAGATCACTCACATGGAGACAAATAATCTTTAAAGTAAATTTACAGATATTCAATATAAGTATGAATTAAATGAATAAACAGGGTGACTAAGAAACACAATGACTGTTATCACAGAAGAAAATACTGACAAATGGAAATTACTACATTCACAGAAAAAGAAAATGCGTTTGTAAAAGTAAAGTATATTTTTCTCTACACCTTTGCTTTCAGTGCTACTGACACCAAATGAATGAGTTTTTGGGTTTTTATCCCCCACACCAGCTAGGTATCCTACAACTCGATTCCGTTCTGACAATATTTACCTAAAATTAGCATCAAATCTCACAAGTTAAGGGCTCATTCCCGTAAGACGATCATATACTTAATCACAAATCTGGGCCTCCCATACTTCCGACTGGCTATAAATCAGGGGTTCCCACAAACCCCTCTTTGGGTTTGAAAATTTTCTAAAATGGCTCACAGAACTCAATAAAACGATTTATTTACTAGGCTACTAACTTATTATAAAAACAGAATGACCCAGTAACACCCAAACGTAAGAAATGCTTAAAGCCTGGGGTGGGGAAGAGGCACAGGGCTTCCATGCCCTCTCTCCAGCGGCACCCCACCCCCTCAGTACCTCCAGGATTTCAGCAAACTGGAAGCTCTCCAAAACACTCTGGTTAGGTTTTTGTTGTTGTTGTTGTTTAAGAGAAAGAGGGTGCAGGGGGAGGGGCAGAGGGAGAGAGGGAATCTTAAGTCCGCTCCAAGCCCAGCACGGAGTCCAAATGCCGTGATCCATCTCAGGACCCCTAAATCATGGCCTGTGCAGAAATCAAGAGTCTGATGCTTAACAGACTGCACCACCCAGGTGCCCCTGGTTAGGATGTTTATTGAGGCTTCATTACATATGCACAATTAAGTAAATCACTGGCCACTGCTGAGTAAGTGAATCTCCAGTCTCTCTCCCCTCCCTGGAGGTCAGGAGGTAGAGCTGAAGTTTCCAACCCTTTAAATATGCATGCAGTTCAGGGGCTCCTGGGTGGCTCAGTGGGTTGAAGTCTCTGCCTTCGGCTCAGGTCATGATCTCAGGGTCCTGGGATCAAGCCCTGCATTGGGCTCTCTGCTCAGCGAGGAGCCTGCTTCCTCCCCTCTCTCTGCCTGCCTCTCTGCCTGCTTGTGATCTCTGTCTGTCAAATAAATAAATAAAATATTAAAAAAAAATATGCAGTTCATTGCCCTGGCAGGCAGCGCCCATATTTAGTGGCTTTCCAAAGCCACCTCATTAACATAAACTCAGGTATGGCTGAAAGGCACTTGTTCTGAATTATGCAAAAAGCACTTCTGTCACCTTTATTGCTCGTATCACTTAGGAAATTTCAAGACTTTTAGGTGTTATGTGTCAGGAATGGGGATGAAAGCACAACACGTATTTCCCATTATAAATCATGATATCACAATTTAATGATATGCAAGAATAAGGAAAAGGCCTTTGATAAAAATTCATCACCAGTTCAAGTTAAGGAATTTTAGCAAACTTACATTAGAGGGGAATTTCCACTTTGTATCATCTATAGTAAACATACATAAATGGAGAAAGTTCTAAAAATGTCCAATAAAGTAAGAAACAAGATATGGATGTTTGGTACCAAATTTACTATCTGAAATTAAACAATTTCCCTGCTTTGACGTGTAAAGATGTTAGAAGTCATCACTACCATCCTCCCAATAAGAAAAAAAGCCAAGCAAACCGAAAAGTCAGTAATTGCTCTTGACCTAATAAGAGAATTGAAGTTACACGGCACCAATGCCCCCCAAACTGAAAGAAACAAGGGAATCACAGCTTACTGGGAGCAGAAGCCCCTGGATTCAGGAAGGGGCAGGAAACCTTACACTGTAAACATCCCCTGGCATCAGGGAAATACGGATCAAAACCGCAATGAGATACCACCTCACATAGGAAGGGGGGAATTGGAAATACTCTGGTGTAAGACACTTGTACTAATAGTGAAAGTACAGTGTTATTTGAAACAGGATTTGAATAAGGTGTACATGTCTAATGAAAGCTCTGGAAGGTCACAGGAAGGAGTGGTCAGATGAGGAGTACCCGCATGATTTATCAGGAGGACTCTCAGAGAGTTGAAGTCATTGGTATGAGGCCTTAAGTCAGCAAAAGGGAAGTATCACAACTCCCACAAGAAGTCAATGAAAGACACTGAGAGACGATTAAGGGAGTCCCCACCAAAGTGCACCCCCCCAAAAGCTACCACCTGCTGTCAGACCTGGGAAGCCCTGGGAATAGCAGCTAAGCTCAGACCCCTAAATTCTTACTAGAGGTTGGAAACGAAATGACACCATTGGTCTCAGGCCAGCACACTCAGCACAGCAGAGGGAGAATCCACTGGACTTGGTAAGAGTCACTGAAAGCCCCTTTATGAGTTCTGAGGAACTCTCCTCTACAATCCAGCACACCACACACTACCCACATCACTCCCCACCCCAACCACAGGGCCCCGCCCACAGAGTCCCCTCCAGCCCACCCCCACCCTCCAGGGTCCTCCTTGGGGCCCAGACTCACAGGAACGGAAGTGGACCTCCTGGCCCTCAAGAACTTCCTCCTAACCACGCCGTGGGCAGTGAGGCCTTCTCGGACAGCTCCTGCCTAGGGTGAGCCCAGACAGGGGTCCTGCATACTGTTAGGGGTCGAGGTGCGAGGAGTCCTGGGTTACAGCTATGGGGACACACCCTCGACAACCCCCAGCACCAACTCCCCTGGAAAGAGGGGTCTAACAGGCCCTGCCCCGCTCCGCCCCTGCTCTCGGGGCTCGGAGGCCCCAACATGGCGGTTAAGCCCCAGGTCCCTTCACTTACCTCGCGGGGTCTCGGGGATTGCAGACCTTGGCCCGGGACTGCCAGACTCTGGCTCAGCTCAGCACAGGCAGAGAGCCCCAGGCCTACTGGTGGGAAGGAGATGGCCTTTGTGACGACTGGGGGGAATCCATACCCCAGAACAGAGGCCACGTGGAGTCTCCGCTCCTGGCCTTGGCCGTGGCCTGGGAGGGTCTGGGCTGGTCTAAAGACTGAGGTGCTGCCTCACTTTGTGCTCCAGAAACTCAGGGAGGTAGGGGCCTTGGTCTAAGGTGCTGGCTGCCGGTCAGCAGAGGGAGGATTTCCAGGTCGGGCCGGCACTCAGGGTGCTAATGAGTCTCCAGCTCCTGCCGCCATTACCATGAGTGGCCAGAAGTGGGGCAAGGGAGGACCCGGAGTGAGGACTGCGGGAACCAGGAACAATAGGGCCTGTCCTCTCCTGTCGATCCTTAACATTCCAAGAAAGGGACGTCCGGCTGAGACATCCCATCATTTCTCCCATCAGGTCTCAGGCAGGTTTCAGCTTTAATCTGCAGGGGCAGCCTGCAGTCAGAGGAAGGGAGGGTCCCAGGTCCTACACAGAGTCCGAGTGGGGGTTCTGCGTCATTCCGAGGACCCCACGGACTCAGGGCAGAGAAGCCCTCCCATCAGTGGTCAGCACTAGGTGCCCCTGACTTCAGCGGTGGGCTGAAGGCTCCCTCCTTCCCTCCTTGAGGGTACCATGGAAGATCCCAGGGTCGCCTTCAGAGCAGGGGAGGGGCGTAGGGACCCAGGTCTTCCCAACACTTAACAGGGGACCCTCTCCCCCAACCCCCACTCCTCAGGCCTACCTGGATACCGGGGTCTTCACTGTCAGAAACACTGATGTCACCCCGGTAGTGCCAAGCAGGGCTGGCTGGCTGGGGCCCAACACTCACACCACCTTCCTCCTCAGGGTCCAGGCTGACCAGGGTAAGGGAGCCCTGCGGGGTCCTAGAGCAGTGCCCTGAGGGACTGTGCAGGGGCGGCCGTGGGCAAAACCAAGGTGGGATCTCTCCGGTGAAGGGTCTCCTCCCACCTCACTGTCCCCCTTCTCTAGGTGCCCTCGCTGCCGGCCAGCCCTGCCCAGTGTCACCATGCCTCGGGGCCAGAAGAGCAAGGTCCGTGCCCGGGAGAAACGCCACCAGGGCCGCAGTGAGGCTCAGGGTGTCGGGGGTGCTCCTGCTGCTGCACCAGCAGCAGCAGAGGAGGAGCTCCCCCGCGCTTCCCCAGGCTCCCCGGAGGAGGCGGGTCCATCTTCACCACGCCAGGGTGGCTCAGCCCCTGGATTTCCTGGCCCAGGGTCCCCAGGCCTGCCAGGTGACCAGGGCGCAGAGAACCCAGCTGCAGCTGCGGCCCTGGCCCCGGCCGCCCCCCTGGCCGCTCCCCGGGCCGCTCCCCGGGTTGCCCTCCGGGCCATTCGCAAAAACCCTCTGATCCGCAAGGTCGGGATGTTGGTGCAGTTCCTGCTGGGGAAGCACAGCTCCGGGGAGCCCATCACACGAGCGGCGCTGCTGAAGATCGTTGGCAGGAAGTATGGCGAGCACTTTGCAGAGATCTTCAGGCTCACCTCCCAGCGCATGCAGCTGGTCTTCGGGCTGGAGGTCCGGGAGGTCGATGCCCGCGGCCAGTCCTACACGCTGGTCAGCAAGCTGGCCCTACCCGGCGAGGGCACCCTGGGCGGCGGCAGCAAGGGGCTGCCCAAGACCGGCCTCCTGATGGCGCTCCTGGGCATGATCTTCATGAAGGGCAACCGCGCCAGCGAGGAGGAGGTCTGGGAGTTCCTCAACGTGCTGGGCGTGCAGGAGGGCAGGAGGCACCTGGTCTTCGGTGAGCCGCGCAAGTTCATCACCGAAGACCTGGTGCGCCAGGGCTACCTGGAGTACCGCCGGGTGCCGGCCAGCGACCCTCTGCGCCACGAGTTCCTGTGGGGCCCGCGGGCCCGCGTGGAGACCAGCAAGATGCAGGTGCTGCAGGTCATGGCCAAGATCAACGACACCTTGCCCAGCTGCTTCCCTGAGCTGTACGAGGAGGCTCTGCTAGAGGAGGAGGAGCGCGTGGTGGGCCGTAGCAGGCGCCGGTTCTAGTCAGGCAGTCGGGGCGGCTGCTTTCCCCTGGGGTGGGAGAGGGCACCTTCCCAGTAGTGCAGAGCCCTAGGGATGGGAAGGAACAAAGCATAGGTGTTCTCACAGTTAAGAAAGAATTCAACATTTTAAGTAGTGGGGTTCAAGGTGGATGTAGTTTTAAAAAACATATCTTCTTTTTGTTCCTTCCTCACATGAGTTATTCAAGGTAAAGATAGATTAAAAAAACAGGTAGCTATTAGCTTAAGATATTTAGTATTTTTTCAAATTTTTTCTTTAATAGAAATTTTACTTACCTTTATAATATAAATATATAAAAAACGTGGGCCATATAGTTTTTGCTGTTTAAAAGGTTTTAATGTTCCAGTTTTAGTATTTATGAAACAATTTAAAAATACTCAATAATTTGTTCATGATCCAGACAAGGTAACATGCCATCAGAACACGATTTACATGGAGATGTGAAGGAATCCAATAGCAAAATAGTTGGGATCACAAAGTGTATGAAAAAGCTTTTAAAATTTAAGATGTTCAATTATTTGTTTATTTCTTTTAGTCTTTTTTCCCTAATATTAAAAGTTATCTACCCTGGATTTGTGTAATTTATTAAAGACTGTTGAAGAGCAACTGTATATTCTCTAATATCTACTCGATTAAGAACAAAAAAAATGGGAGGTTGATAACTTTGGGTTTCAAAATAATCATAAATATCAATGATTAAAGATCCAATATTTCCCTGTAAGTATGCCAAGTGCTTTACAATACAGTGTGTATTCCAACATTCCTACAAGACAGGACTTAGGAGACTCCTTTTACTGACAAATAACTTGTACATTTCTCACTTTCATAAGGTTGGCAAGTGACAGAGCTAAGGATGGTCGCAGGGATGTGAAATCCTTGGACTAACACAGGGAGGCTCCTTCCAGAAGAGGGGCCTAACAGAAGTCAAGGCAGTAACACTGAGTAACAATAAGAATACTTTTCCAAGAAAGAATGAGGCTATATACAGCCTTGTCCCTTGTTGGACCTAGGAGACCAAGGTGTGGAAACATGATGAATCATACTCGTTTCCTCCCATGGCATCTCCTATAGGGGAGAAACCTCATCAAGTCAGCAGAGGGAGAATTTCTAGATTGTTGCAGGAGTCAAGGTGAGGACCCTGAAGACTGAGGAGACCACCAACCCCATAACAGTGGGGGCTGAGGCACCAGTCCAGATCCTGACCGGGTGAGATCTAAGGGGGTCACCAGCCTCAGAACACTGCAGTCCCATAGAGCCTCACCCCTTCTACCAGTTTAGAGAGAATATAGACCAGTGGGCGGTGGGGAGCAGACAGGGCTCATGCTTGCTTTAGCCTCTGAAGTCTGGAGTGTGAGCATCTTAATCTGATGTGAAGTTCCTCAGTAGTGTTAGAAAGTTGTACAAGGAGTCCAGTTTTTTCCTAACCCTTTATATTTTCTATTAACCAGAACAATATAACATGTTACTTGCATAGGGACTGTCATGAAAATGTGAAATAATTATATGGGAAAATTACTTGGGAATCACAAAAAAGAAAAATAGGACAGTAAATGGTTAAATTCTTGGCCAGGCTCATTCTTTTAGTCTTTAATATGTATCTGCATCTCTACCTGTCTATATATATCTATATAAGATACATATGTAGATATATATGATTATATACATAATATTAAATATATATTTAGATATATAATTCACACACACACACATCTGGATTTTCTCTACTTATTCAGGAATGTGGGTGAAATGAAATCATAATACATTAGAAATCCTGCTTACTGTCTAATTACCAAGCATTAATTCAGCATCTGCTCTTTGGGAAACTCCATTGTAGTATGGGGGAACAGAAAGAAAAAGAAGACTGAGCCACTGCCCATAGATTTACAAGTCTAGGAGAAGCTATCATCAAAGGAAGATGGTGAGATATACTCTACGACCTAAAAGTCAACAAAAAAGAAGCAGTGAGGAAGAAGAGGAATTTCCAGATGAGAGCAGTCAAGTGTAGATTATCTGAGGCCGGGCGGTTCGGGGCTGTGACTCTGGAGGCTAAGCGAATCCTAAGCAAAGGACAGACACCAGATTGTGTGTCTGGGAGTGAACAGACTGAAGCCTGGAACGAATTCTTCTTCTTCTTTTTTAAAGATTTTATTCGTTTGACAGAGAGAGACATAGCGAGAGAAGGAACACAAGCAGGGGGAGCGGGAGAGGGAGAAGCAGGCTTCCCACCGAGCAGGGAGCCCGATGCGGGACTCGATCCCAGGACCCTGGGATCATGACCTGAGCCGAAGGCAGATGCTTAACAACTGAGCCACCCAGGTGCCCCTGGAATGAATTCTTAACAGCAACCTTGGGAATGTGGGAAAACCAGAGACACCTCTCCACCTGAAGCAGGAATAGATGGGGTCCTGCACTTTTGTCCCACTGCTAATGAACACAGTGGACAAATTAGGTGTTTCGTGTACATCATATCTAAGAAACTTCTAAGAAACAGGGTTCTACTCCCTTAAAGTATGGTCAAGAAGCCACCAAGTTCACACTCTGCCTTGGATGAGGAGAGCCAGAGCCCACTCCATTGAAATGGCATTGTAATTAGGTTTTCTTGAGTACAATTCTGCAAATTCTAAGTTAGGGACCACTGAGTTGCATCTAACTGGGTAAGACTCATACTGAAATTAAAATACATACCCCTCGAATAGGGACAATTTTCTTGCCAGGAAACATATTGGCTATTTTGGTGTTTTCTGTCCTGCAGTGCATTTTCTCTGACATAGGCTGAATGAAAGCAAACAAACAAAAATATTACAAAGGTGCGGGTGGTATCACCTGGGACCAAGATGATCTGAGTAAAAGTTGTCATTAATAAGAGACCCAATATTTGCCAATCAGTGTCCTAGGTGCTCTATATTCCTGGATGGATGAAAGCCCTGGGCCTTCCCTGCTCTGCCCTCACGCCCCACTCTGGAATCTCTTGACGGTGCGGTATTTGAGACTGGCCTCCAAACAAAGACACGGATGAGGGAGCTTAACCACGTGGTCAATAACCAAAGCCTCCCTCACAATTTGGGGCTGAGGAATGACCCGGGATCTCACTATGCAGCAAGCACCTGCTGACGCTGAAATCCTCAGAAGCCCAGAGCCCTTCTGTGAGAAGAAAGCGGTTCCTTGGGAGACACGCGGTCTTGGAAGAGCAAAGATCAAAATAGTTCAGCACCGTTCTGTTGCCTCTTACCTCAGTCCTTGCCGCAGAGGAATACCTTGGTTTTTCCTTGCCTACTGGTGCTTGTAAAGTGTCCTGCATGCCCAGTCATGCTGAGGGTTGCCCGGACTCATGAGTTAAGGTATGGACCATGCTTTAATAGAAAGAGAACATTCTTTTCCTACTGAGATTCTAGAATCTACTGCAATGGTTAACCCAGAAAGAAGCTTTTATGAGAAGAAGATGTTCCTTTCCTGCTGAAGTTTTATAGAATCCTTTGGATAAACCTGATGTGATCTTGTATTGTGAAGCACCTGTCACATGGTAGGGTCTTAAGAATGTTGTAGAATTTTAAGGAAGACTTAGCCTTGCCAGAAATGCCATCAGGAGTAGAGGAGATTGTTTTCATAACAAATTCTTTTTTTCTTTTTAGATTTATTTGAGAGACAGAGATAAAGAGAGAGAAAGAGAAAACATATGCAAGGGAGGGGCTGAAGGGAGAGGGAGGGAGTCTTAAGCAGACTCCCTACTGAGTGCAGAGCTAAAGTGGGGCTTGATCCCATGACTCTGAGATCATGACCTGAGCTGAAATCAGGAGTCCAAGGTTTAATCGACTGAGCTACCCAGGAGTCCTGTGTTTTCATAACAAATTCTAATAACTGCTCTTTTCCTGAGCATCTACTATGTAAGTTTATGGGAGAGACTAGAGCTATTCATCCATAGCTGTCTTGCCCTCCTCTTTGGCTCACCAGTAGACTACGCTGCCCAGTTCGCTTATAGTTAGGAAGGGTCATGTGACTACCCTTGCCACTGAAATATAAGTGGAAGCATTTTTTCTCCTTTCTGGGCCTATATATTTGACAGAGAGTATTCCACCTCCACACTTTTCTTCTTTTGTTCTATAGCAAGAACTGAAACCCATGTTTAGGTGATGGATAGAGCCTGAATCACTGGGTCACATGATAGCACAGACCCCACCCCACCCCCGCTTCCAATCCACATCCTTCATTCGATAGTGCCTTCATTCGATGAAGCTGTTCAGACTTCACATTGTGTCTGTGGCATCAGCTAGCAGTTGCTTTAATACACATTTCCTATTTCTGTTGTTAGACTTATTTAACTATTTTAATTGCCAAGATAATGGTGCATATATTCTTGCAGCAAAATAATTCAATACAGAGAAATCACAACTGCCTACTCTACATCAAGCCTAGTAAATTCTGTAACAGCCTCGGTGGTGAATAAAATTAGCCCGTGACAGGTATTATTTTAAAAATAATTCTATACTTTTTTTTTTTTCCTACCAGGACTCATTTATTTTACAACTGGGAGTTTGTACCTTTTGACTACCTTCACCCATTTTACCCACCTTACTTTCCACCTCTGGCAAAAACCAATCTGTTCTCTGTATTTATATCCATTGGGGATTTTTTTTTTTTTGGTTGCTGGTGGTGTTTTTTAAAGATTCTCACATATAAGTGAGATCATATGGTATTTGTCTTTCTCTGAATTATTTCACTTAGCACAATGCCCTCAAGGTCCATCCATGTTGTCGCAAATGTCAGGATTTCCTTCTTTTTATGAGTATGTAATATTTTATAGGTATTACATTTTATTTATCCACTCATCCATCAGTGGACACTGAGGTTTCCATGTTTCCATGTCTTGGTTACTGAAATAATGCTGCAATGAATGTGGGAGTACAGATACAGTTTTGGCTTAGTGTTTTCATTTCCTTTGGAGACACAGATGTGCTATAAAAACTTATTGTGGGGGCGCCTGGGTGGCTCAGTGGGTTAAA